TGGCCAGCAAACCACCACAGGCCCCTTGCCCAGGCTGTCCCACCCCCCAAGGGAACCCCCACCTTGATCCAGGACACCTTTCAGGGCAAACCAGTAATAAAAGGGTAATATGCTAATTAGACTGGGAGACCTTCCAGACCTTCTTCTGGACAAAGCCATGGTGGCGGGGCCGAGGTAGAGGCAATTAGGGGCCAAGAGGGGAGGGCAGTTGTGGGTGATCAGGCCGGTGCGGGGGGGAGCAGTTGGGGATGAGCACGCCGGCAGAGGGGACCAGTTGGGGGCGAGCAGGCCAGCAGTGGGGGTCATTTGGGGGCAAGCAGGCTGGCAGGGGGCAGTTGGGGGCTAGCAGGCCAGCAGGCAGAGTGATTAGGGGCAATCAGGCAGGCGGGCAGGTGAGCAGTTAGGAACCAGCACTCCCGGATTGTGAGAAGGATGTCTGACTGCCGGTTTAGGCCAGATCCCACAGGGATCCCTGAGTCCCAGATTGGAGAGGGTGCAGGCCAGGCTGAGGGACACCTCCCACCATGCACGAATTTTGTGTACCAGGCCACTAGTACTAAAATAAGGTCAGATGAAATTGCCTGCCATGGTCCTGCCCACATAAAGTAGTCTTTTTGCTGGCAACTACTTTAAATGTCCGAAAAACCTGCACAGTTAAAGTTTATCTCAAGGGACACCTCAGATAAACGCCCATCCTTTCTCAGACAGCTTTTTAAACAAACAAACAAACAAACAAACATGTTTTTATTGATTTTAGAGAGTGTGGAAGGGAGAGGGAGAGAAAGAGAGAGAAACATCCACATGGATCAGTTGCCTCCAGCATGGGATCGAACCTAAGACCTGGATATGTGCCGCAGGCAGAGTGATTAGGGGCAAGCAGGCAGGCAGGCAAGTGAGTGGTTAGGAGCCAATAGTCCCAGATTGCGAGAGGGATGTCCGACTGCCTGATATTTCCCAAGGGGTCCCAGATTGGAGAGGGTGTAGACCGGGCTGAGGGACACCTCCTTCCCCCATGCACAAATTTCGTGCACCAGGCCACTAGTTTATAAATAATAATACAAGAATAAACTCTTGTGTTTCACATTCTCACCACTGTAAACTTACTCTTGCCCCACTCTGTATATTTTCCAGGTTTATTTAATCATGTACTGACTTTTTAAAAAGTGGTACGTTCCTAACCTGAGGTAAAGTGATAGTTAATGTTTTCCTAGGCTGCCATTAGATAATATTCTGTTTATATTATCTGTTAAGTGGGGGGAGGACATTTTGCTAATATTTTCTTAAAGTCCTATTCTGTCCATTTAGATTGAACATGTTTGTATTATTTCTTAGATCTGAAACTCAGCACCGAGGCTCTGCTCCCCACTCTGAGAGTGATCCACCAGAACAGGAAGAGGAGATTCTAGGGTCTGATGATGATGAGCAGGAAGATCCCAATGATTATTGTAAAGGTAAGACTTTCTATAAGTAAGACATGATCCAGGTGTATTCAGTTTCTCATTTGAATGTTTGCTCAATCATTGTAAAGTTTTGATGCTTTTTTGCTTACTGTATCTTTTAAAATTTCTCTTATTGAAAGTATTACAGGTGTCTGCATTTTTCTTTCTTTAAATATAGGAAATAGTATTTCCTCTTAGTTTGACTCAGTTTATTAGTTTTATATCAAACCTGTTTTTACCTTTTATTCTCCTTAAAAATAATAGTGCATACTTACATTAGAAAACTTCAGACATATATTAAACAAAAAGAAAATAAAAGCCATCTTTAATGCTATCACCCAGAAGTAACCAGTGATGAGATTTTATTTTTTATTTTTTTAAAATATTTTATTGATTTTTTACAGAGAGGAAGGGAAAGGGATAGAGAGTTAGGAACATTGATGAAAGAGAAACATCGATCAGCTACCTCCTGCACACCCCTTACTGGGGATGTGCCCGCAACCAAGGTACATGCCCTTGACCGGTATCGAACCTGGGACCCTTGAGTCCGCAGAATCGAACCTGGGACCCTTGAGTCCACAGGCCAATGCTCTATCCACTGAGCCAAACCAGTCAGGGCTAGTGATGAGATTTTATATGTAGACTTTTGCAAAACACCTTTTTATTACTTTTTTCTTGTAATGATTGCTAAGATAAGTTAAACTGGAATTATATGGACTTAAACTATGCCCTAAAATTGCCTGATAGCTTTTCTATTTCTTTATGAGACTTTCCAGTATTCTTTGGTAGGAACTTATAACAGAATATATCTTACCATCTAGTAGAACCTGGGTGTTTTTATTTTCATCAGGCAAAGATAGATGTTAAAATAACTTGATTCTTGCCACTGTTGGAAGCTTTTTCAGGCCTTCCTGAGTTTTGTTGTGTTGTGTTTTAGAAAATCAAATCCTGTGTGTTTTTAAGTTAAATAAATGGAATCCATTGATCTCTCTCTTTAAAAAAGAAAAGAAAAATCCTGAGACTGCAACTATAAATAGATTTATATGTTTAGATAAATCTGTTGTGATACAGAACCTTATTTTTGTTTGAGGATGACTTATTTTAAATAGCAAATGGTCTATAAAGCATCACTTTCTCCTTCTAAATCATTAATTTTATTCTCTAAGATCTTTTTTTGTAATATGAGCTCAATGATACTCTATGCCTGACTTGACTTAAATTTTTTTTTTACTTAAATAACTTTTCCTACTACAAATGTTGAATTCATAGCATAGAAGAAACCATTTTTATTTAATAAAAGGTATAGAGACGTTGAAAATGGGATATAAGATACCTTTTCCTACTACTTACGTGAATGTTTCCCTCCTGTTATTTCTTCCAGGAGGTTACCATCTTGTGAAAATCGGAGATCTATTCAATGGGAGATATCATGTGATCCGAAAGTTGGGCTGGGGACACTTTTCAACAGTGTGGTTATCATGGGATATTCAGTAAGTTTTTGTGGTCCTGCAAAAGAATTAGTTAGGTGATAGCTAAATGTTTCTGATTTTCCAGAGCTGATCCACCTTCAGTTTAACTCTGACTGATTTCTTTTTTTTTTTTTTTTTACTATATTTTATTGATTTTTTACAGAGAGAACGGGAGAGGGATAGAGAATTAGAAACATTGATGAGAGAGAAGCATCAATCAGCTGCCTCCTGCATACCCACTATTGGGGATGTGCCTGCAACTAAGGTACATGCCCTTAACTGGAATCAAACCTGGCCGACACTATCCAGTGAGCCAAACTGGTTAGGGCTCTGACTGATTTCTTGATCAGAATTTTGTTGTTGATAATCTTTGTGTTCTTGGGCAAATGACTTTCCTCTGGTGAAGAAAGTTTTAAAGACAAAAGATTAATTAAGTTAGTGTCAAAAGGCACTTAGAATTCCCAAATTCAAAGCATTGCAACTATTACTAAAAGTAAGGTATGTAAATTTGTAGTTTTCTCACCAAAGTAAAGTTAAATTGATTTACAAAAAAATATAGTAGTAATTACCTACCCTTTCGTTCCAAAATAACTTTTCAAAAATCAGGTGCCCAGCCCTGGCCAGTTTGGCTCAGTGAATAGAGTGTCGGCTCATGGACTGAAGGGTCCCAGGTTCAAGTCTAGTTAAGGCAGTGGTTCTTAACCTGTGGGTCGCGACCCCTTTGGGGGTCGAACGACCCTTTCACAGGGGTCGCCTAAGACCATCGAAAAACACATATATAATTACATATTGTTTTTGTGATTAATCACTATGCTTTATTATGTTCAGTTTGTAACAATGAAAATACATCCTGCATATCAGATATTTACATTACGATTCATAACAGTAGCAAAATTACAGTTATGAAGTAGCAATGAAAAGAATTTTATGGTTGGGGGTCACCACAACATGAGGAACTGTATTAAAGGGTCGCGGCATTAGGAAGGTTGAGAACCACTGAGTTAAGGGCACGTACCTTGTTGCAAGCTTGATCCCCAGCCCTGGTTGGGTCACTTGTGGGAGGCAGCTGGTTGATGGATCTCTCTCACATGGATGTTTTCTCTCCTCTCCCACTCCTTTCCATTCTCTCTAAAAAATTAATGGAAAAATATCCTCAGATGAGGATTAACAAAATAATAAAATAAAATGTGTTAATAAAAATTAAAAAAATAAAAATCAGGTACCTATACTTGTTTATAAGAATTTCTGGTACCAAGAAGTAACCAGTCAGGTACAACCTTATTTATTATGTGACATGACAAATAAGATGCAACTCTGTTGTATGACCTATATACTTATGCTTCAAGACAGATCATTTACATTGGACAGCAATTGTCCATTTTTTAATGTTATAGTCTAAGAGGAAAAAGGTCAGTGCCCCTGACTAAATAGTTAAGTATTGCATCTTTTAAAAATTCTTATAGCATACCGGTTGAAAATCGATGCCCTTTTTTTCTGCCAAGGGCCATTTACATATTTATAACATCATTCTCGGGCCATACAAAATTATCAGCTTAAAAGTTAGCCTGCTATTTTTGTCAGACATTTCATTAACTCACCCCGAATGCTTTGGCTGGGCCACACCAAATGATGGCCCACAGGTTGGATGTTCTTTACCCCTGCTCTAGATGAACCTATGTGAGATTTTCTTATATTTTCTTTTGGTAACAGACTTGCTCAGTCTCACACAGTCTAAAACTATTCTCTACATAAAAATCAATTACCATGGGGTGTTTACCTAAAAGTGTACTACCTATCTTTGATGAAAACAGTAATTGCTATCTGTGTACTTTTTTTTTTTTTTTAGTTTGTTTTCACCCTATTTTTTCTTCTGGCTTCTTATAGGAAAGTATTATAGTTTATAACCTTTTAGTTTTTTTCAGGTAGACAAGATATTTCAGATTTGGTGGGGTTTCTCCCCTTATCTATCTCTTTTCATGGTTTTCCTTGGTTTCAGGGAGACATTAAGAAGGTAGATTTTTCTTTTTTTGGTATTTTATGTTAGTATTTATTATCCCCCCCACCCCCAGAAATTACAAAAGCTTTGCAGCTATGATGAAAAACTTAGACTGCTGGGGTCCAACCCCAGTAGGTCCAGGGGTCCCCAAAGGTGTGGACGGAGTCGGCGAAGAAGGAAAGACTCAGAGGCAGCGTTCAGTTGATCAGCAGCCCAGTCAGGTTCTCTAGCCAAGTTCTGGTCAGGATCTCCAGCCAGGTTCTGTGTCCATGTTCTCTTGCTAGGTTCTCCAGCCAGGTTCTGTCCAGGTTCTCCAGCCAATTTCTGTCTAGGATCTCCAGCCAATTCCTGTAGCTGGGTTCTGTCCAGGATCTTTTGCCATGTTCTCTCCCTAGGTTCTGTCTCTAGGTTCTGTGTCCTGTTGTCTTGTTACATCTGTATTTATACCAGTTGATTCCAATCCTATCAATCTCTATTCCAAAGGTTAAGGCATTTCTTATCTCCATTCCAGGGAGTAAAGATTATGTAGCTTAAGCATGATTGTTCTTAGTTAAAGAGATTAATTACCCGTCTGGCACTTAGTGAAGGGGTTTTATTCCCTCCCTAACCTCAGGGGAAAATCTCTACCTGGGGAAACAACCTTTCTCGGAGAGGTGACCTTGGTTAAAACACATAGTGCCAAGAAGGTGAGCAAACAAATTAAGAACAGTATGCCATATATGCCAGGTCCCTTGAAACAGCAAAGATGGACCGGCTCCCAGCAC